CCAAACGAGTGAGGTTTGTGTATCGCCTTGTACGTGTGCCCTACTTACACGCCTAATTTAGCAAAGCTGGCGCTAAGGAGGTGGCGCACCAGCAAGTCACTATTCTCCAGCTGCCTGTTTTGCCTGAGTACCAGCAGCTAAAGAGAGCGGGAGCTAAAAGAAGGAATACCCTTTCCCTCATGCAAGTAATTTTATGTTTCTGAAGAAATTTCTTTAAAATTTTGCTACCTTCTGTATGGCTGGGTGTACCCTGTGCCATAGTGTCTTAAGAATAGAGTACAATGTGCTACTTTGTCAGGCAGTAAAATGCTTTTTGCATGTCACACATTTTTCCCTCCATCAAATACTGTTTGGTACAGGAACTGACACGCTAAGGTCACACTTCAATAAGCAGATTTTTCCTGAAATACAGAGGAAGAAAGAAAGAAACCTTAAAAGAAAATATTGGTCACATTTTAAATTGCCTTCCAAGATTTTCTTTTATTCAAATCAATAGTGACTTGGTGCAGCACTACATTTGTTTTGACATACTGTAGCAAAAAGATTATCTGGATTTTGTCATGCCTGGATTAGATATATGTCTCTGATTTCACTCTCAAAAGATATTTTACAAGTGCACTTGTGGAACTGTATTTAAAGGAAGCTGTCGTGGTCTAAAAGACAAGTGTATGCCTGAAGTTCAGAGACTGTCTCAGCTTCTGAAACAAAGAGCAGGCTTACTTTACAGCAGTTTACTCACCAGCAGATCAAAACAATTAAATTTACTGGAATTCAAACTAAAGCTCTGAGCAGGGTCTATCAAATAAAAAGTTTTGCTACAAGACCTGTAAATGTTATTTTACAAGCCTGGTAACACCAAATGAATTCAGGGACAGATCTTTCTCTTTATAAACAGTCAAAGATCTCCAGCAACACTGAGGTAAAATTCTGAGAAACTCTTAGCTCCTCCCTTGCAACCAGCTGAAATGGAGGCTCAAGCCAGGTTCTGCTTGCTATAGGTTTGCATAGGCCTTTGCATACATGCATGTACGCTCCCAGAATTTAGTGCCTCAGCTGCACAGCTCCAGTCACCAAACCGTGGGCATTAAACATATTTTGAATTCTGTAGATTAAAAAAAATTCAGGTAGTAATTATGCAAAAGGACCTTAAATCTCCAGCACAGACGTGGTACACATTGAAACTTATCAATTTCAAGGAAAATAAGCACTTTAAAGCACTGCCCTCCTTCCTTTGAAAACTCCACTTGGAATTTACCTCCTGACACTGCCCTTCCCCTTGACAAGTAGCTGTCACCATCTCACTGGAAGCCAAAATTAACTCAGCTGTTTCTGCTTCGCAGGACTGTCATGTTTATAGTGTAATAGCATCTAGGATACGGCTCCCAAAAATCACCTTCCCACGAGCAGCCATAGCATGGTGCGTACTTGCTCCTCCATGCTAAAACTGACCGGGGACAGCCTGACGTAAGGGTTAAGCTCCACAGTCATCAAGCTAAGGAGGCATCAGGAAGGGCACCTCTCTCATTCCCATTCCTCCTCAGGTATGGGAGGAAACGGTCCCCCCAACATACAGAGAGCAAGGATTTTTTTCATACCTCTCCAGCCTCTTTCCTCCCATTTTCACACGGGGATCTGACAGCAAAGACAGTGTCCGTCTGCCCTGGATTTCAATCTATTGTAGGAAGAAAATGACTTGTTACCTGAAGTTATAATCTGGACTCTGATTTATTTTCTACGAGCAGTAACTGGATCTTCACAAACCCCAGATTTATATCTTGGTCAAAATCACCAGCTGCCAGCCAGAGCAATGGTTCTCATGTTTTTATATTCCATGCTGAAGTTTCCAGGTTACTGTGCTTGTAATGGGTAAGCACAAAGTTTAATGTTACACTGAACAAATAATTACATCATTTATTCTATGTGTAAAGTTCACTACTTACCCTGCCCAGGAACTTTTGCTTGATACTAAAGCAATTTTGATGAAAATTATAAAATCCAAATTGAAATGTCCGTTCAAGTTGGTTTTTTTAGATGTGCGTGGTATGCAAATGTGTCACGGCTTGAATTCACAAAAAGATTGTCTTGGTGCCAAAGTTAAATTATTCAATTTACAAATTAGAAAGAGAATTATCATTTGTATACAGGGCAAGTTTGTAGGCATAAATAATGTCTCTTAATATTAAAGCTGGCTCCAGTGTAGAAAGTCTGCAAGTAGCACTCAATGCAAATTACCTTCTTTGAAGGAACTCTGAATGGAGTTTTTTCCTCCGTTGAAGGTACTCGGAATAAATTTTGCCGTCACTATTCACTAGCTCTAGGAAGACTGACTCTGAATACAGACAAGCCGTGCAGCCTGTAAGTATTCAGTCACTAGCACGGGGGATTAAGGTACAAGCTGGCTCGATAGAAAGGTTTTCTTTCCATTTGTACTGAAGGAACAGGAAAAGTGCTTCAGGTTGTCGCAAAACCACAGTCTCACCTATGGGGAGGTGCATCACATCAAGCCCAGTCTACCACAGCTCTGGTAGCTCACTGCATTTTACCCAGACAGAACATCAACGATCTCCTTATGCAAGGCTTAACAAATGCCTACGCTCCCCCATTTTCAATGCTACGGAGTTTGCATAAATTCACAGGCTAATATCAAACCTTCCCTTGTATTCAAAAGGAGAGGAATCGAGGACTGCAGTGTGATGAACTCGTACCGCCTCTGCTGAGAATTCTGTATCCTAAGTGGATGCTTATGGAAGACGAAGATAACCTTCCATGGACGCCTTTGCATATACCAGGTTTGACAGTTTGTGCCAAATACCAAAACACCACGCTTCCCAAAAGCAGCAAGAGAAAACAGAATGTTACCGGTTGCTATGTGACACACGGAAACATCCTTATAAGTGAATATTGACACAATTCATCTTTTAATGCACTCGTAATTCAGAAGCATATTAAGGCTTCTAAAGCAAGGTCCACCTTAAAAACACAATAGCGGAAGGTCACGGGATTCCAAACGTTCTTTATTTTATATTCGCTGCCATAGAAAGTCATTGAACAGCACTGGCATCATTGTTACTGGGGAAAAAAGGACCTGGTTTTGATTTGCCTGAAGATGTGACATACATCAAGAAGTCAGTCCAAAATCCTGCTGTTGAGTACAAAAAGCAACTGTTTGAATTATAAAATACTGTACATACAGACATAAAAATGTTTCAGAAAGTGTTCCACAAAGTTTCTAAACTTCCAAGGGCAGATCTTCAGCAGAGTGAACAGGTTGTTGTCGTCAAAGGTGAGCATCTGTTCATTCGAGCAGAACGTCTGGATCTTTATCTTCCTATATTACAGGTGACACAGACTTTGATTTTCACCCCAGCCAGGGATGACATGATGGTCCTAGTGATTAAGGTGTTTTTTCCTGTAGCTATTAATTTAACAAGCACACTCTCTATATATAAAAATGAAATTTCGAAGAAATTTATACAACAGCTAGACTTTATAAAAATATAGATCTATAATTTTACACCAGGAATTACCCAAGGTAAGTTTCCATTTTCTTATGTCTTAACCGTTAGAAATTAATTTGTATCCTTTGGAATCTTATCTAAGGCTAGCATGTAAATTAAAATAATTTGAAGAAGTTATTAGCTGGTGAGGAGAGTTTCAAGAATCTCATTCTGTGGTTTCTTTTGGCCAAAATTAACAAACCACTGCATTCTGCAGTGCTCAGCTTGCGGCAGTGGGCATGTTACACAGTACGTATCTACTTATTCCAGAATCTTGACCCAATTCAGTGTTAAGACCCAAATAAACAACAACCCCATTGTCCTTACTGTTGAAAAAACCCAAACCCAAATAAATAAAATTGGACAATATTTCTCTTTTGCTGTACTGTGTTAACTCTTTACGGTGTGGTGGAGGCAATAATGAATAATACAGCCATGTGATGAAGGAATGTAAAACTCAACACTTACTGGAAAAAAACCCAGACTTTTACAGGTGTGTGTATATATATTTTTATATATATATATCTATATATCTACATTGCAGTTGTAACTGTCACCTCACAAAAGAGATTCAATGGACTGAACAATCATCTGTAAACTTCAGCAGCTAGAGTTCTTCAGGAAGAACTGGCTTTCAG